TGTGAGCAGTTGGCAGTCTTTGACGTCTGGGTCACCCCCCAAAGCAGTTTCCACCCTGTATTTCCCAAGAATTTTGATTTTGCCATCAAGACAAGGCTCAGGGCCTCCCCAGACCTTGTTTTGCCCACTCCAAGGGCATCATTACAGAACAGAAATGTGCCTCTTATCCATTCGGTGCGTCTCAGGGGCTGAATGTCGGCCCTGTACTTATGGAATATATATCCACCCTGAAGTTACCAGATGTGCCTTGGGGTTTGAAGATGTTCTTGCTGCCCGAGCTAAATCAGACCGGCCATACAGACGCCTTTTCTCTTCCTCCCTACTAGTTAAATGTCTGCCTGTTTGTATATCCTGGAGAAGTCTACGGTATCATTAAGCCCAGGGCGGTTTTTTAAAAAACAGGGGGGAGAACGTAATATTCACGATACAATCACAAGAAAAACAGAAACCAAGATACAGCAGAAAAGACACGCTAGGAGGAAATGATGCTGTCTTTGGGGACGACCCACCGGAGCCTGACCAGTTAGATGCCCACCTGAATAGGTAAAAAAGGGGAAGGAGCTCTGTTCAAGGCGTTTATGGACTGGTCTCTTGGTTTGGTTTTGTTGGTTTGTTTTAAGAAAAGGAACCGGCCATCCACGTTACAAAGGGGGGAAATCTGTAGGTACAGCCAAGATTGAGATTCAACGGTCTCGAATCTGGATTTCTGTTCGCTTCTGCCCCCCCGGGTGTGTTTATTTCATGGAAACTTCCGACAGCGCCGTGCAGGGGGTAGTTTTTGAGGTTCTCCTCTTTTAGCCTGGATCTGGAGATGCTTAAACTGTCATGCACGTCTTGTTTAATTAAGTTATCTACCCTCGGGCAACTTCCAGATAGAAGAATCCTTTCCTTTCAACTATGTCTTTTTTCCAGGAAAAAAACACAGAGGCTCTCTTTGTGACTTTGCTCCTCGGGAGGACAGTGTTTTGGACGTCTGCGGCTTGCCGTGGTATTCTCAAGCAACTATCAGAGAACTTTAGCTTCTCCTTTTTTCCTGGCGGGCGATTCTCCTTTGAATCCTGGTGGAAGGGCTTTTGGGGGGCAGGAAGGTGGGGGGGCGAGGGCTGGTCCCCCTTGAATGTCGTCTCGGCTTGCTGAGCAGATGGAAATAAGAAAGAAAAGCCAATCCTCTGCAGTCACGGATCTCTGGTCCCCCTTGATTGTCATCTCGGCTTGTTGAGCAGATGGAGATAAGAAGGAAAAGCCAATCCTCTGCAGTCACGGATCTGCCTCCTGCCCGCAGGCGGAGTTCATTTTATCGCTGCTGCCTTTTGTTTGGGCGAAGAAAAAAAACACACAAACCTTGTATTGTCCTCCACATTCTTGGTCATTATCAGTACAAGCTTTGCTGGTTACTCACGGCTGCTTATCAGCCCTCTCCCGGTGACTGTAAGTCAGGGCCGGCCACTTCCGCAGGTCTGGGGGAGGAGGGTGCACCCCACTCCCCAAACCGCCTCCTGCTCCCTCCGGTTTTCCCAAAAAGTTTGAGCCTCGGAATAAGGAGCTGGCCCGTTAAAAAGGATTTATTTCCCTGCTAGGAGGCCTCTGTGAACCCCTGACTTCTCCCGCGGATCATACCTTTGCTATAGCGTATCGGGGAAACAGAAAAACGAGGGACAAAAACATTGTGGCCCCTTACAGGCACATTTTTTTGTCTTGCTTGGTTGCCCGACATCTTCACAACAACTCGGCCAAAGCGTGTGGGGCCGGGCTGAAGAGGGGGGACCCCCGGGTCCTGGCAAGACATGCTGGGAGCCCCTGGGAGCCTTGAAAAACCTGTGTCACCATGTGAGGGGGCACAAGAATGCCCCTTGGGGCTGGACTCAGTCTGAGGCTTTCATTCCGGAGCGATGTTTCTAGTCCTTAGGGTGGAAGAGAGGAACCTAGGAACACTGCTGTGAACAGGCAGAGAGAAGAGGGGAGGACTTTGGTGGGTAAAGCATAAGATTCGGGTACACTTACTTCACCGTTAGCCTCAGACCCATTGAGTTCCTTTCTGTCTCTTGACTCTGTGGGTCTGGTTCCCCCTCCCGCCAACCCTTTCCCTCTTAGGAACATAAGAAATGTTTTTAATGTCCCCCCCCCTTCCAAATCAGGTAGATGCTTTTGCCTTCTGCAGCCTGGAGGGTGTGGGCCCGACCCGTGCTCGTCAGATCCTCTTAGAGATCTATTGTTTTCTGTTGAAGTCTTTCTGTGCGCAGGATTGTGGCTGAGATGAAGGACTCCCAAGGTCTCGGCTAGAGAGACTCCAGAGGTCAGAATGGAAATGTATGCATGTATGTGGTCTCTGCTGGGGGGGGGGCAAAAAAAGGGTTCCTGTAATTCTGTGCTGCTGGGGGGAATATCGTAGGAGCTGAGCTACCTCCAGGGTGTGTGTGTGCGCATACATACATACATTCCTGTCCCTGGATCCCAGAGGGCTACAGGCGCTTCCCTTGCTGCACCCAGCCATCAAAGATTTTGCTTTCCATGAAAAGGTTTAAAAATGGGAAAATCCCTCCTTATGCCTTCTAGTGGCCCTTTTTTTAAAAAAAATCACAATATATTTGAAAGAAGAGGTGCTGCCTTTTCCAAAATAGGGCCCCTAAAAGACACAAGCAGACTTTTTAAAACTAGGCGTGGGGTATCTGTGCCAAAGAGCCAAGAATGCTGGGGTGGGGGCTTCTTTCAGTCCCACGAGGGTGGCGTGGAGCCCGAGGGCTGCGCTTTGCCAGCCCCTGGGGTTTTAGGAGGATGTAGGATGATGTTCAGGCTGTATTGTGGTTAGAATATGGATGGCGGCTTGGGATCTCCCAGGTCTACCCTCCTCCCGACTATTATGAGATAGCGATAAGCCCAAAGGTCTCCTGAAAAAGGAAAGCGGAATATAAATGCAAGTAAAAAAAAAATCTAGGGAGGAAATATCACATACAGTGTCCTGATATCCATGGGCAGAATCATGAGAGTAGAGTTTTTGTGCAAATGATTCTCTTTTTATGCCAAGCGTCTCCAGCTACACCCCCCCTCCCCATACAAATGGAAATCTACCTTTGCCTTCCTCGGGAGAAGAGTCTCTCTCATTCAAAACCAGCCACTTTGTCCAAAAGACTGGTCGGATCTGGTTCTTCCGACTCCCCCTTTTATACCTGAGGACCTTGGGCACCAAGAGAGAAAGAAAGAGAAGCAATCACTCCCCACTGGTAAAGGGCAGAAGAGTGTTTTGTGTGGATTTCTTTTTTTTAATGTCCTTTTTGTCATTTTTTTGGGTGGGTAAAGCATAAGATTTGGGTGCAATCATTTCGCCGTTAGCCTCGGACCCATTGAGTTCCTTTCTGTCTCTTGACTCTGTGGGTCTGGTTCCCCCTCCCGCCAACCCTTTCCCTCTTAGGAACATAAGAAATGTTTTTAATGTCCCCCCCCCTTCCAAATCAGGTAGATGCTTTTGCCTTCTGCAGCCTGGAGGGTGTGGGCCCGACCCGTGCTCGTCAGATCCTCTTAGAGATCTATTGTTTTCTGTTGAAGTCTTTCTGTGCGCAGGATTGTGGCTGAGATGAAGGACTCCCAAGGTCTCGGCTAGAGAGACTCCAGAGGTCAGAATGGAAATGTATGCATGTATGTGGTCTCTGCTGGGGGGGGGGCAAAAAAAGGGTTCCTGTAATTCTGTGCTGCTGGGGGGAATATCGTAGGAGCTGAGCTACCTCCAGGGTGTGTGTGTGCGCATACATACATACATTCCTGTCCCTGGATCCCAGAGGGCTACAGGCGCTTCCCTTGCTGCACCCAGCCATCAAAGATTTTGCTTTCCATGAAAAGGTTTAAAAATGGGAAAATCCCTCCTTATGCCTTCTAGTGGCCCTTTTTTTAAAAAAAATCACAATATATTTGAAAGAAGAGGTGCTGCCTTTTCCAAAATAGCCCCCCTAAAAGACACAAGTAGACTTTTTAAACTAGGCGTGGGGTATCTGTGCCAAAGAGCCAAGAATGCTGGGGTGGGGGCTTCTTTCAGTCCCACGAGGGTGGCGTGGAGCCCGAGGGCTGCGCTTTGCCAGCCCCTGGGGTTTTAGGAGGATGTAGGATGATGTTCAGGCTGTATCGTGGTTAGAATACGGACGGCGGCTTGGGATCTCCCAGGTCTACCCTCCTCCCGACTATTATGAGATAGCGATAAGCCCAAAGGTCTCCTGAAAAAGGAAAGCGGAATATAAATGTAAGTAAAAAAAAATCTAGGGAGGAAATATCACATACAGTGTCCTGATATCCATGGGCAGAATCATGAGAGTAGAGTTTTTGTGCAAATGATTCTCTTTTTATGCCAAGCGTCTCCAGCTACACCCCCCCTCCCCATACAAATGGAAATCTACCTTTGCCTTCCTCGGGAGAAGAGTCTCTCTCATTCAAAACCAGCCACTTTGTCCAAAAGACTGGTCAGATCTGGTTCTTCCGACTCTCTCTTTTATACCTGAGGATCTTGGGCGCCAAGAGAGAAAGAAAGAGAAGCAATCACTCCCCACTGGTAAAGGGCAGAAGAGTGTTTTGTGTGGATTTCTTTTTTTTAATGTCCTTTTTGTCATTTTTTCCCCTCTTTCCCTTGTGGTGTTAAAATGTTTGGAAACCAGAAACTCCTGGAAGTTGGCAATAAATTATCCAGAGTTTTAGCCGGTCGATCCTAATCTACCTTCTTGCCTGCCCACATGTCGAAAACAAAGAGGGCTGTGTGGAAGGAAAAGCAAGATTGCACAACGGGCGGAGCGGCTGGCCCAGACAAACCAGCCAGGGTTTCAGAAAAAAGCTTTTTCCTCTGCTCGGCAGAGGCTTAAGTGCTGTTCGGTTGGCAGCGCGGACCTCCCTTGGGGATAGAGGTGTGGTTATTTCTCCCTTTTGGAACTCTCTTCTTTCCCCCCTCCCTCCCTCCCGAAAACAGAATGTGGTTTTCTTTGTCGGTAACTATTTTTCCCACCTTTTTAATGCCTCCCCCCTTTCAGGTGAACCATGATTCCGGTCACCGAATTACGCTACTTTGCGGACACGCAGCCCGCCTACCGCATTCTGAAACCTTGGTGGGACGTCTTCACGGACTACATCTCCATCGTGATGCTGATGATTGCGGTGTTTGGAGGGACGCTGCAGGTCACCCAGGACAAAATGATCTGCCTGCCTTGCAAATGGGTCACCAAGGACGCTTGCAACGATTCCTCCCGAGACAGGGGGCCTGCAAACCTGGACTCGCGCTATTATAACGCTTCTCTCGTGCCGCCTCTGGACGCCGGGCCGACGGGGATCAAGTACGAGCTGGACAGGCACCAGTATAACTACGTGGACGCTGTGTGCTACGAGAACCGCCTCCACTGGTTTGCCAAATATTTCCCTTACCTGGTGCTGCTCCACACGCTGATCTTCTTGGCTTGCAGCAACTTCTGGTTCAAGTTCCCGAGGACCAGCTCCAAGCTGGAGCATTTTGTCTCCATCCTGCTGAAATGCTTCGACTCCCCTTGGACGACGAGGGCTCTGTCAGAGACCGTGGTGGAGGAGAGCGACCCCAAGCCCGCCTTCGGGAAGATGAACGGCTCCATGGACAAGAAGGCGTCCACTCACAGCGAGGACGTGGAGGCCACCGCCCCGATGCTCCAGAGGACCAAGTCTCGGATCGAGCAAGGCATCGTCGACCGGACGGAGAACGGCGTCTTGGACAAGAAGGAAGGAGAGCAAGCCAAAGCCCTCTTCGAGAAGGTCAAGAAGTTCCGCACCCACGTGGAGGAAGGAGACATCGTTTACCGCCTCTACATGAGGCAAACCATCATCAAGGTGATCAAATTCATCCTGATCATTTGCTACACCGTCTATTATGTCAACAACATCACCTTCGACATCGACTGCAAAGTGGACATCGAGAGCTTGACCGGCTACCGCATGTATCGCTGCGCCCACCCTCTGGCCACCCTCTTCAAAATCCTGGCTTCCTTCTACATCAGCCTGGTGATCTTCTACGGCTTGATTTGCATGTACACCCTCTGGTGGATGCTGCGGCGCTCCCTCAAGAAGTACTCGTTTGAGTCCATCCGGGAGGAGAGCAGCTACAGCGACATCCCCGACGTCAAGAACGACTTCGCTTTCATGCTGCACCTCATCGACCAGTACGACCCCCTCTACTCCAAGCGGTTCGCCGTCTTCCTCTCGGAGGTGAGCGAGAACAAACTCCGGCAGCTGAACCTCAACAACGAGTGGACGCTGGAGAAGCTGCGCCAGAGGATCACCAAAAACTCCCAGGACAAACTGGAGCTGCACCTCTTCATGCTCAGCGGCATCCCGGACACCGTCTTCGACCTCATCGAGTTGGAGGTCTTGAAGCTAGAGCTTATCCCGGACGTCACCATCCCGCCGAGCATCGCGCAGCTCACCAGCCTCAAGGAGCTGTGGCTGTACCACACGGCGGCCAAAATCGAGGCCCCAGCCCTCGCCTTCTTAAGAGAAAACTTGAAGTCTTTGCACATTAAATTCACGGACATCAAGGAAATACCCCTGTGGATTTACAGCTTGAAGACTCTCGAGGAGCTCCATCTGACGGGCAATCTGAGCGCCGAGAACAACCGATACATCGTGATCGACGGCCTGAGGGAGCTGAAAAGGCTCAAGGTGTTGAGGCTGAAGAGCAACCTGACCAAGCTTCCGCAGGTCGTGACCGACGTCGGGGTCCACCTCCAGAAGCTCTCCATCAACAACGAGGGCACCAAGCTGATGGTCCTCAACAGCCTCAAGAAGATGGTCAACTTGACGGAGCTGGAGCTCATCCGTTGCGACCTGGAGCGCATCCCTCACTCCATCTTCAGCCTCCACAACCTTCAGGAGATAGACCTCAAGGACAACAACCTCAAGACCATCGAGGAGATCATCAGCTTCCAGCACCTCCACCGCCTCACTTGCCTTAAGCTGTGGTACAACCACATCGCCTACATCCCCGTGCAGATCGGCAACCTCACCAACCTGGAGCGCCTCTACCTGAACCGCAACAAGATCGAGAAGATCCCCAACCAGCTCTTCTATTGCCGGAAGCTCCGCTACTTGGATCTCAGCCACAACCTCTTGATTTCCATACCCCCAGAGATCGGGATGTTGCAGAACCTGCAAAACCTGGCAGTGACGGCGAACAGGGTAAGGAAAAAGAGCAGGAGCTTCTGTGGGTCAGTGGGCGATTTCCATCCCCTTATCTGGAGGCAGGGACCTCCCACAGCTTCTGGGGGTCGGCGGGCCCACTTCCATCCCCTTATCTGGAGGCAGGGACCTCCGTTTTGTGATAGAACCCTGCTCACATTCTGTAGGACCACAGGAAAAACCTATACATTGCCTCCGAACCCTTGTTAAGGGCTGTTCGTGTAAATAGCACCCCTTCTTTCCCCTCCCGCTGTCCTCCCTGTTCTGTAGGACCACAGGAAAAACCTATACGTTGCTTCCAAACCCTTGTTAAAGGCTGTTCGTGTAAATAGCACCCCCTTCTTTCCCCTCCCGCTGTCCTCCCTCTTCCCACCTTCCTCCTCTTGGCTCTGGCTATCAGGATTGTGCCCGTCACCCTCTCCCTTCTCCCTGTGTGGGTCTCAGTGAGATGGGATGGGGGGACAGCCAAGCGCAGCGGATGCCAAGCGAACTAAGGACGCAGGAGAAGCTAGATCAGGAATTTAAATCTTCTGCGAAGACATCAGCATCCCCTTTATCTTCCAAGGTTGTGAGTCTATTATAAAAAATGAAAGAGGAAAAATAAGATGATGAGGGGCCCATCTCTTGCCCTAAATATTCCCGGATCGTTTCATGATCTACTCTTTCTGGTACCGGGGTCAATGGGGGGGACCCATTGGTTAAAGGCCTGGTTCCTTTCCCCCCACCTTTTAGGAAGATGGGGTCAACTTGAGCCCCACCTCCTGGTCCTTTGGGGAATCTCGCCTCTTCTGGGAGAATTATCCGGTTGCTGAAAGAGGGGCTGAGGTGACCCTTGCAGGCCCCCATATTGCCCTTGGACGCAGGCATTATCGGACTCCGACTCCCAGAAGCCTTGACCGCCAGCTGTCCCGGCCGGGGTTTCTGGGAGCGGCAGTCCAAGAACGCCTGGATTACCCGAGGTTAGGAACCACTGTCCTCGCTCCTAATCCATCCACTATGCTACCCTGGTTTCTTCACCCTTATGGCTAATTTTTTTTAATATTTCTAAATCGGGGTGGGGTTTTGCCTAAGGGCGGGCCCACCAAGCCCCCAGGTGTTAAGCAAGACATCTTATTTTGGTTGACATTGACGCTACTTGTGTGTCACTTTAAAGTAAAATTCCAATTTTCCCAAGCCTTGCTCCTAATCCATCCACTATGCTACCCTGGTTTCTTCACCCTTATGGCTAATTTTTTTTAATATTTCTAAATCGGGGTGGGGTTTTGCCTAAGGGCGGGCCCACCAAGCCCCCAGGTGTTAAGCAAGACATCTTATTTTGGTTGACATTGACGCTACTTGTGTGTCACTTTAAAGTAAAATTCCAATTTTCCCAAGGTGAGTTCTGACCACATTTTCGTTTGCTGTCTTGCCTTAGACGAGATTTGTACAATCCCTGCCAGAGGCGGTTCTAAATAACTGCCGGTGCTTATACCACATTTTCAGGGCGAGAGCATCAGTCCCTTCTTTATTCCAATACTCTGGTACCGCCAGAGATCTGTTTAGCTTGGCATAAACCAATTTAATTAGTCTGCAAAGCGCTTCCCGAACCACTATATTTAAGAACGTTTGCAAAAGCGCAGGCTGGTGGTGGGATCTGCAGCCTTTCCTGTTTTGCTTTTCTTGTATTTAAAAAAAAACACAAAAAAATATCCAGCCTTCGGATGACGCTTAAAAGCTAGCTCACTCTTTTGTGCTCTTCGCTCGGCCGATGCCGAATTTCAGGGTTTTCCAAATGGATCCACGTGGCAAGCTGCATCTTTTCAGTTAATCTGGGTCTTTGCTCGGCTGTCCTTTACCTCCAGGCGAATTTGAAAATAAATCTTTCGGAGAATGGAAGGGGACTTGAAGGCCGGTCTTTTGTGCAAACTTATTTTTCTCCAAACTGATGGAGAGACGCAGAGAGAGAGAGAGGTCACAGAGGGGTACGGATGGGAAAGTTTGCTGATGCTGGCAATTTGATAGCCCAACAGCCTTTTAAAAGTTGTTCTAACATTTAGATAAGGGATGTGGACTCTTCCTGTCTTGTCTTCTTGCAAGGATGAGGAAACCACACTTTCCACAACAGGGAGAATTCTAAAGGTTTTGGTGGGAGGGTTTGTTTTTTGTGTGTGTGTGTTTTTTTGCACAAATTTCACCACCGCCGCACAAAACTTAAGAAGTTGCTCCCATTTGGGAGGCGCTGAACGGATGCTGGCTGACTTGTTGATCTTATTTGAGAAGGAAGTCGCCGTGTTCGCAAACACGCCAGGCAAAACAAAATTAAAGACTATTCTATTTTAAAGGTGAACTTTCGTGGAGAAAGTAATTGGTCATTTTCGTTTTAACGGGTGGGGCGCTCCGGATGGAGCCTGGAGATCATCTGTGTAGTCCCATCTGATTCCCATCATCCTCAGCCGAAGACTGATAACTCTTACTTGCCTCTGAGACAGTGAACTCCGGTTTTATGGGCGCCGATGCATGTTGCGTTTCAGTGATTCAGCGTTGCTGGCAGGGGTTTCCCACTTCCAAATAAGATTGCCATCGCCCCAGCTTTTTAAAAACTTAATTATTTCCTCTTCACCCCATCCCTGCCAACACATGTTGCAATGTTTGTGGGAAATTGAGAATTTCCCAACTAGCATAGGCTCGAAGTGCAGGGTGGGGTTCAAATAAGAGCGAAACGGGTTTGCTGGATTTTCCTTGGTTCATCAGATCATCCTGGTTTAGCTTTCTTTTCCCCCTCGGTTGCAGAATTCGGCCGTGTACTGTATTCCGATCTCTTTGTCTTCTCGTCTCCCTGGAAAGAGCTGACGGGTCAAAGCCAAGGGACATGAGCGGCCCCCTTCATCTCTTAAAAGGGGTGTGCTCTGGTTTCTTGGAAATGATGCTGTGTGGATCTCATTAGCTCTCCATGACGACGAGGATGCAACTTAAGAGAGAGGCTTGTGAGCAAAAGGTGGA